TCCTTGTGTCTGAAACCAAATATGGTGGATGGGCTTCACAAAAATATCTGAGGTTCAAATTTAGTTGCAATTCTGTGATTTGTGTAGACAATGCTGCCCTCTCGTGGTCAATTTCTTAATAGCATGATTCTGTTTAATATCAGGTCGCTTTTTTGTCCCTTGTACTCCCAAAATGCTTTATAGAACAGTGCATCCACTTAGCATTGCATGTGTGCATAAAATAAATATATTACATGCATAGCACATCACCCTTTTTACATTTATATCTAATTTGGGATTGGGTTTGTACAGTTTTTTACATGTGTTTTACAGGGCACTGGAAGAAATGAATAAAAAATAACATTGTGCTACTGTTCCCCTGAACTTTCAGAATTCAATTCCTTGGGGAAGAAATGTTTTTCTCATGAAAGCAAACTTAGAAGAATTCTAGAACAGAATATGTTGAAGTTTCTCTAATCTGAACACCATCTGAGAGACTACTATCCTCTTCCTCCAGGGAGAAGAGTTTGTTCTATTTGAAGGAAACAAGTTCATTAATATCTTTTTAGGTTAAAAAAAAATAATGGCTTATGGTTATGAATGTAAAATTGCCTTCTGGTTTTCTTCAGGAACAGATCATATAAAATGACAAAGAAATCACAACCAAAAGGAGAAGGTGAGATATGAGACACTGTGTGGCAATTTGCTTACACCTGACTTCGGAGGCCTACACCTCCCTGTCTGTTCATAAGTCCCTGTCCATGAGAGGGCAACCTACACAGGAACTAGATGTGGAGAGTGTGTAGACAACAGCCCTGAGGAGAGGAAATGCCTTTTACAGAAACAAGGTTAGGGATATCTATCGAGTAAGAAAGACACTCGTCATGAGGCCCCTCATGAGGAATATGTACAAGTGAAAGGAAAAACTATACTCACCAGATCAATCCTTCCTTGGTGGCACTCCAACTCTGAAAATATGTGGAAAGCAAAAATCAAATATGCCAAGAATAGGCAGAGGCCTAGAGGTCACACTTCACTTGCAAACATACTAAAATGAACTATAGTGGGTTTCTTTACAAAACGTTTTACATAAAAATCCAATTTTGGATTTCTTAGTAAAATCAGAAGACTTGGCAGGACTGGGCTCATTTTTTCACCGGAGCTGAGGAGTGACCACCTCCTGAGATGCAGCATGACCTCTATCAATTGCCACAATCCCCACCACTCCCTTACATACACCCAGCTCATTTCACTGATTTTCACTATTGTCTGTGCCCAGTGTCTTTAGGTTAAATCCTTTTTGCTCTATCTCTGAGAATTGTGATGCATATATTTATTCTTTAGCAGCCATAGAACTCAGCAAATCTAAATGCAAAAGGGCAGGAGGCAAAATTTGCATACAGGAATTCTCATTTATCCCTTCCCACTTCCTTTGCCCTTTTCCTCCATCTTCTCCCTTCACCATTACAACTTCCCATTAAAGGTTTTAGGCTTTATTTAAATAATAAGTTATCTCTAAAGTACCAAAAGTTTCAGGAAAAAAAAATGGTTTTCACATAAATCTACATTTTAAATCATTAAAATAGGCTGATGGAAAGCACACTGAATTAGGGAGCCAAAAACCCATGGCCTTATTCAAATCTTTCCCTTTGATAAACTTAGTGACATTAAGTAATCCTTCAAAACCCTCCAAATCTTTCACTACTCCATCAATAAGATGTGATGATACTTGTTCCTCATACTTCACCAGGATTTTGAAAAGTAACCATAAGGCAGAGGACATTTGTTAGATATAAAATACATATTATTAAAGTGTTATTCAAAGTGGACCTGATAAAGAATTGTAATATGATCACATGTTCAGAAAATACATATCAAAATGTTACTGTTAGTAACTTCTAGATAATACAATTTAGGGTGATTTCCCACCTCTCAGTAGCTTCTACCTATTTTTTGCTTTCTCATTTGTGAACATGTGTTAGCTGTGTGATAAAAATTATCACAAATAATAATTTTTGAAACGACAAAGATTTTGGAGAAAGGAAATAAAACCTCTTCCATTTTTAATACACTTGAATAATCACTAATTGCTACTGAAATCCTTTCTAAAATTTCTTTTTTGTATACTAAGAATATGTATGTATTATGTTGGGGTTCAGGACAGGCTGTGCCAAGGTGTTTTTAATTGAAAAAATTTGGGAAGATGGCAGAAACAAGTAGGTTACTCTCACCATTCCCCAACCTTTTTTCCCCTGGAACAGGTCATGAAGGGTCCTCTGACCTTGCTCTGAAGTAGATTACAAGAGCCTCATGGGAAAGAGCCCTCCCTATACCAGAGGGAAGGGGACACCATTCTTCCTGAACCACAGAAGAGGGTCTGAACCATCAGACCTAATTTCCCAGACTCTCACCACCAGGCCTTTGGGCCCTCTGATGTTTTCCCATGGCTTTTTACTCTTCATCAAACCTAGAATAAAAACACTCAGATTTGTTCATTTCTTAGAGGTCTTAATTTCCTTACAAAGGCTCTTGTTTCACATTAAAACTTATATTAGATGAATATGTATGCTCTGCTCTTGTAAATCATGAGGGCCTCAGCCATGAACCTCAAATGAGTAGAGGAAGAGGTATTTTTTCCCTCTCCTACACAATTAGAATATCCCCAGGAAACAGCCCACAATGTATCATGAGCATCCTGGACTGGTCAGGGAGATGCTCGGTTTTGTTCCTTCACTTTCCCAGGATTTGCTGGACCAGTCAATTAGGCAGACTGAGGCCAGTACTGGGAAGCTGACCCCTGATCCCACTTTATGACAGACTGGGTGTGTATAAAGTGTCCCTGAACTGCCACATCAGCAGTTGAGATTTCTAATCCCTGACGTCCTCCAGCCACTTTGTGCTTTGTAGAGAACCTGTCACTACACTTCTGGACTGAACATGACGGTGAGCCTGTGGTTCCCAGCTGGGGACCATATTGCCCCAGGGACATTTGGCCATCTCTGGATGTTTTCTGTTGTCACACTGAGGCAGGGTGCTACTGGCACCTGTCAGGTAGAGGCTAGGGATGCCACTGAACATCCTATAATGCACACGACAGCCCCTTGCCATAAAGAATTGGTAATGCTGGGTTGAGGAGTCTTGCTTAAATGAAAAATGCTCTCTAAGTTCACATATCGTGAGGGTCACAAGGGACTTTCTGTAGTCACAGAGATGAAGGTTCATCCACTGTCCAACAGGGTGGGAAGTTTTAACAGATTTGAAAGTTCAAATCACTTACCTGGTGATTTTAGTATCTCACAAAACTTTTTCTAGTTCTTGTCATAATAGTTATTGCTTATTGTTAAATAAGATCATTTCTTCTTACATGTATTTGAACTCTGTGGAAGGTTAAAAAAATCAGGGAAAGACTTGTGAAGAGCTTAGTCTATCACTGTTTACATTTCTCTCTATGCAGGGAGAGGAGAGAGAGAATGAGCTAAATGCTTTTCTGAAATAAAATAAAATGCACGTCCTCAGCACCAGACATGCTGCCAACACATCACGCACCGGAAGTTCAGAGGGAATGGAACCCTCAACAGGAGTGTGGAAGCTCAAGGTAGTAAACATTTTACAAAGCATTTTTCTTTATAACTAAAAAGAAAAAATAGATTTTTTTAAAAAAGAATATTTCTTAAAACTTATTCTGAAAAACAGTATCCTTAACAAAGGAAGATCAACTCTACACAAGAATCTTAGAAACACTTTCATTGAAGTAGAGCAAAAGCAAGAAAGTATATTTAGATACAAATGCAGTACTATTTTCCTTTATCACTCCAGAAATTTCTCCAGTTAGGAAAATAAAAGGCTTTAAAGACATTCTGATGTGTTTATTAGTGTGGATTTTTGTTTCTTTTATGTTTTCAAAAAGTATAAGAGAAAACGGGGTTTTGGAAGTCACAGAATTATTCAAAATAAAAATCAGCAAGTCAGTTTTTTGGGCAAAAGTTTTACTCACTTTTAAAATCCTGTTACCACTCTAGAGAGAGACCCTTTAGGAAAAAAGAACTGAAAAATGAGGAGACAAGACATATGGTGCCTTTGTCTTTTGTTATCTTTCAGCTGAATTCTTGACTCTATGTATTATTAATATCTTATGTTTATAATTGACATTATCATAGAATCATTTGCCTGATTATTCTATTTTTTGACCATAGATTATAGAGCATCCTACTTATAATTCTACTTCAGGAAGAAATATAAGAAGGGAAACAACACAAAATAGCCTCAATGCTTCATCACTTAGCAAGCTAGTTGGGCCTCTGAAACCCTGACCTCACTCTTGGATTTACTGCATTAGAGAGCAAGAGAGAGAGCTGAACATTAGAAGAGGTCTTGAACAGAATATTGTCCAAGCATGTGGTACTATCTTGTGTACTTTAGATCCCAAGAAGAAAAAATAGATATAAAGATGTAATAAAAGCCTAATAAAATCCATTTCAAACCACTGCAGGGTTGAGTCAAGAGTCTTGGGGAGAGTCCAGGATTAAAAATGGGTGACAGCTGAAATTAACATCTATCCTGCCAATCACTTTGCTGTGACTGGCACCCACATCAAGAGCCTATCTCATCCCAGTGGTTCATGGCATTCAGCTGCTAGGCTCCTTCTCCCAGGCACCAAAGCCACTAAGCTGTTCCCTAAAGAACTCCCTTAGGAGTTCTTTTCTGAACCAGAGAATAATGTCAAAGCAGACTCAGGAGAAATATGGTATTATTTGTTTATTTGTTTGTTTTTGCTACTGGGGATTAAATCCAAGGGTGTTTAACCACTGAGCCACATCCCCAATGCTTTACATTTAATTTTGAGACAGGTTCTCAGTAAGTTATTTAGGTTTTGAACTTGCAATCCTGTCTCAGCCTCTGAGCCACTGGGATATTACAGGCATGTGCCACAGTGCCCAGCCAAAATATGTTTTTTAAAGAAGAGGGTGAGGAGAAGGAAAAGAAGACGGCAGTGAAGAAAACCCTCATGAACTTAGGTGTGGTAGAAGGCAAGCCTGTACTTTTGGACTAATCCCATTTGTTTTTAAATAAATAATTGGAAAATACTATATAATCATAGCTAACTTCCGTGGAGTGTTTTATTATGTGCCCAGCTCTTTCTAATCTCTTTTTATATATTAACTCAATTACTCTTCACATCAGTACCTGTAGTTTGTACAATCACCCCCCTTGACAGACAGAACAAGTGGGACACATACCCTTGGTTACACAGCTAATAAATGGCAGCCAGGAAGAGGACTCAGGCAGTGTGATTTGGGAACCCACTCATTGCGCCTCATTGTCTTGTGTAGCCTCTCGTCCACCCAGTGCCTATGCTGGATGTCATGGCCGTGGTTCGTGCTTTACAGAACAAAAATGAGAAGCAGAAGGCCTGTGTAAGCATCTCACAATCATCTTGCAATGAACATTTAACTTCCATTTAATGGCAAACAGGATAAAGTAAATATTTTCAATCAAGAACAGAAGCATCCTCCCCTTCTTCCTTACCAAGAAAATTCTATTCCATTTGCAATGATAAAGCTTTCAGTTCAACCCCTCCCCTCCCTTGGATTCCCTATGGTTAGAGGCAGCCATGAAATTCATGCTGGCTGATGAAATGTAGGCACAAGTCAGGGTGGCTCTTCCAGGAAAGCATTTTATTTATTAATTTATTTATTTATTGGGGAGGGCGGTGTACCAAGGATTGAAGTCAGGGGCACTCAACCACTAAGCCACATCCCCAGCCCTATTTTGTATTTTATTTAAAGACAGGGTCTCACTGAGTTGCTTAGCGCCTCACTATTGCTAAGGCTGGCTTTGAACTCACGATCCTCCTGTCTCAGCCTCCAGAGCCACTGGGATTACTGGCATGTGCCACTACACCTGGCCTCCAGGAAAGCATTTTAAAGGGTATCAGGTCTACAGGACTCTGACCTTCACTTTTGCTCCTCATCTCCCATGTTTTCTTGTCTGGAGCATAAACACAATGCCTGGTTGTCCTGCTGAGCCCACTGTGGAGAAGCAGGAAGGAGGTCCTCTGTGACTTCCTCTGGTACCAGCAACTGCTCTGGACCATCCCACTCCATGCCACACAAAGAGTACATCATCTTCCTGTCAGAGCCTAAGAAGCCAAATATCCCTTCCACATATCTGAACGTAAGCCCAGTTGCTAGTGGCTGTTGCCCGAGTATCCCTGCTTTCTCCCTATGGCTTTGAGAAACACATGTCTAATTCCAAATGAATGGCCACAGGTACAGATCCAAAAAGAAGAAAAAGAAAGGCTAAAGGAGATTCAATTAAACATTACTAACTGCACATTACATAATTTTTACAGGTTTGATTATTTTGGGAAATTATTTGGAAGGGAAACAGATTCGCTATAACAATTTTTTTTTCCTGCAAGGTCCCCATCTGTTTATTTTTTACACCTCATTTTGATGAGGTGTTCATGTTATTTTCCTTTTTAAAGAGTTTCTAATACGAGGCTTTTGAATGATCTCTTACTAGACTTTTCCAGTCGATTTTAATTTCCATTTCCTGTTCCAAAACTAAATTCTACCATGACATCTAGGATCCTTTATACAGTGTTGGATTTGAAACACCATGTGGTTTATTCTTAGAGTTGAAATCTTTATCACTCTTAAATCATAGTTGTTCCACTAAGAAGTCTTCATATAACTTTTAAGAGGCATATCCAAATGACTTATCAAAAAATGCTAAAGAAATCAATTTGTTCTATCAGATGTTGCAAAATCATGGTCATCAGATACACAGAGTAAAGTACTTTATCCTCGGCTAATATTTGTCCCGTCCGGCAGGACACATCAACGTGGGCAGCGAACCTAGATGGGGAGGAATGAAGGGACAAGAGACACGAAAGGTGACAGCAAGACAAAAATTCTGATCAAGCTGCAAACTTTTATTGTTCACATAGGGGTATTTATATGCTGGGGATGGGGAAGCTCTCTAATCAACAACTGCTGGATGTGGGTGGTAAAACTGCCAGGTGCAAGATGTCTGATGATCCTGATAACCACAGGATGTTCCAGGGAGATAGGTAGCTGCAGGATGCCTCCCAGGCAGGATGTCTCCCAGGGGGCTGTCAGGCTAATCTTTGAAGGAGAATTTCCTTCTAGTCCCTGACAAATATTCCGTAATTAAAAGTATTTAAATCAAGCTCAATGTTTTTTTGGAACTTTACATATTTTTTAACTTCACTGAACTGCCTCACAAAGTTGATATGTCAAGATGCCATCGGCTAAATCTACACACATTCATATTTCACAAGTAAAAAACACTACCCTGCTTTGTTTAATTGCCTCATAGTTGCAAGAAGAGTTGGCTGATGATTGGGGGTTATCAGAACAACTGTCTTACTTACCCCAAAACATCAGTACTCTTCACCTTTTATTGTGAGGATCTAACTTATAATTTGGTCTTAGGAAAAAATATTGTAAAATAAACTTACAACTGAAAAAACAAACATTAAAAAAAACTTGCCTGGCATTTATTCAAGTTCTACAAACTCATAAATAACTAGCAGGTGAAGTTCAGGGCTGATGAATTGCTGTGTGGCACGGGAAATTTATTTTCTATGACAACCTCTGGCTTTCAGATGCCTAAATTGCATCCATCTCTTAAATACAAATGACTGCATCAGCCAGTTGGCTCCCCAAACACCCTTTTCCTCTCCACTGTCATTATTTGGAATTTCTTTCTCCTGTCTCCTTTCTCCTTCTCTTCCCTAACTAGAACCGTATGCTGTTGAGGGATAAAAATCTTTGGGGGCATGAAAAAAAGAAACAAAGGGCAATGTGAGGGAGGAAGGGCATGACCCTTCATTGCCCATTGCTTCTGTCCCTTTGAACCTTCAACTTCTTGCACTGCCTGTTAAAGTGAATGGATAGGGAGATCCACCTTACTACAGCACACAATGCCCTCCATGACCTGGTTCCTGAGTATCTTTTCTGATGTTATTACCTAAAACACTGAGTGATTCCTGGAAGAAACTCTATGTTAGCTCCAACATCAGTCCAAGGTGGGTTTGGCTCCTTCCTGACCTCCCAGAGTGAACATTGAGCATTCTCCCCATTTACTCTTTCTCAGTCTATCATCTTCTTCTCTGCACATTCAGGAACTTCAGAACAGAAAATATCAATTCATCTGCATCTTTAAGGCCTAGCAGCCCTAAGTGTCTGGTGCTGAATTGATAGGGAAAAAAAAAAATGGTGCTCTAAAATCACCTGTTGTAGCATTAATGAATGGCCCCAGCACTTCTCCAAGTGACTTATTTCAGAGACCCTTCTCTGGCCCACACCCCACTTTTCCCACTCCAGAAGTTACTCACATGATAAAGTAGGCAGAGGAAGTTCACTGAGCTGCTCTCCCAATGTGAAAATGAAGCTGCTTAGCTCTGTCAGCCTGAGATCCAGTTGTCAACTTTGTCTCTAAATGCTAAACAGATGACAGGGGTCACTACAGAAGCCCAGATTTTCATTAAATGGATGGGTCTTTTAGAAGAAGAAAGGTGAAGAAAAGGTTATAGATAATAACAACCATCATTTAGTTAGTCTTTATTCGGTCTAGATTCTACTGTCAATATACCAAGGATTGAACCCAGAGGTGCTTAACCACTGAGCCACATCCCCAGCCCTTTTTATTTTTTATTTTGAAACAGAGTCTTACTATGTTGCTTGGGGCTATGCTAAATTGCTGAGGCTGGCTTTGAACTTGAGATCCTCCTGCCTCAGCCCGCAGAGCCATTGGGATTATAGGAGAGCATCACCATCCCCAGCTGTCACCTTTCATTTTTTTAATCAAACTTCTGATATCTTTAAGTTCTCCCCGAATCAGAACTCAGAACACACTTTCTGTTCTCCATTAACATTCACTCAACGGAATATAATAAGGCATTAAAAATAAGTGAGCAGCAGAGCACAGTGGCACATACATGTAATTCTGGTCATTCAGGAGGCTGAGGCAGGAAGACCAAAAGTTCAAGGTCAGACTCAACAATAGAGCAAGAGCCTCTCTCCAATAAAGTTTTTAAAAAAGGGGGGGGTGACTACTGGGTAGGATTCTAGAGAAATGTGAATATAATTAGCAAGAATAGTAAGATAACCCATAATCTACAGCTATATATCAATGTAATAAGGACTGAAATATCTAAAAATGAGAGCACTTGAGTTAAATAAGCAGTGTTTTTTCTATATGTTATAAATTATTGTTAAAAACTTGTAATATAATTTGAAATGTTCTGGACTTATGTTCCAATGAATATAAGAACCAACACATACTTCAGTGAATACTTAAAAGACTCCTAGAGAATACTTGAAATTCTTACCTTTCCTTTTGCTCTATAATGTTAATCTCATCTAAGTGCTCATTTAAGATACTGAGAGGGGAAGAAGGGGAATTCACTCTTGTGAGTTGGGCAGGGGAACTGGGGGTGGGTGAGTCATAGCCCAACCTCCATCACTCATTCAGTCCCACCCTGTTCCACAGAAATGTATGTCAAATGTATAATGTCAGATATATGCCATCCTTCTGTCCCAATAAATCAGCACCCCTGAGCCCTGCCTATCAGGAAATGCTAGAGCCACCAGAAGCTGCGTACCTTTGGCAGCCTTTGAGAAGCTTGGCCAAACAGTGGCCTTTCTCACTCAGGTCAGAAACAGTAGAGCTGTATAATAAGAAGTAAAAGCAGGCCTAGCAAAAAATCAGTGAGGGATGACTCTAAAGCTCAGTATCGAAAGTTGTTCCAATTCAGAGATTTGGGCTGGCAGTTTTAATGCCCCATATCTCCTGGCCCCAAATTCCCAGACCATCTATCCACAGAAACACAAATCCAGACTGTCCTTACCAGATAGGTATTCTACCCCTAACCAACCTTGATTGGCTCAGAAATTAACAGTCCCTGCCTTGGTCTGTTTTGTGTTGCCATAACAGAATATTTAAGATTTGGGAATTTATAAAATATAAAAGTTTGTTTGTCTCATGCCTCTGGAGGCTGGGAAGTCTCAGAATGGGTGTCTTCTGGCTGCATCATAACATGTCATAGAGAGAGAAAGAAGTTTATAAGAATCCTAGACACTCTTATGCTAATTAACCCACTCCCATGATGATAAGAGCATTAATCCATTTAAGACCTAACCACCTTAAAAGTTCTGCCTCTCAACACTGTTGTACGGAGATTACCTCAACACTCATGTGTTTGGGGGACACATTCAAACCATTTAACAAACTGATTGGAAAGGAAGCAAGAGGTATACTATGCTTTGGATATGAAGTGTCCACAAAGACTCATGTGTTGAAGGCTTGGTCCCCAACGTAGCAATGTTCAGAGGTAGGAATTTTGAGAAGGAATTGGATCATGAAGGCTCTTTATTATGGGGAGGCGGCCAGCGCCTGATTAGGGAGGTTTTTCTTCCTGCTCAGGAGGGTGTAAGCCACCTAAGAAATTAAAATCTAGAATAATTAGTGAAGAACAAAAGACAAAGTCAGAATTAGGTTTAAAGGATGGAGCACCTAATAGATCCAGCCCACACTGGAGCTGGAGCTGGACAATTAGAAAATGTCTCCTGTGGCTTATTTAAGTGGATACATCAAAGGCAGGGATAAGACTTCAGGGATGGAGTCTTGCTGCTTCCTGATGTCTTCCAGTCAGTAGGTTGACTGGCATCTTAGCAGGTCATACCCATCTCAGAAGGGCTGTGTGAATGCAGCAGGTCACCCCATCTCTGGTGCTGTGTGGGACCAGGCAGAGCTGAATAGGGCTTACAATGTGTCTGGGCAGTCTTACACAGAGGAAATGTCCACTGGAAGTTTCCAGACACCAGATCCTCCTATTCATTAGGCTCTGATGAGCAGTAGTACACTCATAGCCCCAGGATGGCTCCAGGCAGCTCTTACTTTATCAAAGAATTAATTCATTGACAGATAATTAGACTACTGGGAGGTGGCAGGCACTATAGGAGATAGGGCCTAGATAAGGGAGTCGGTAATTGGAAGTGTAAGGTACTTGCTTAGCATATGAATGGCCATCTTAAGTGAAAACAGCCATTTTAAGGCTTTCCCGCCCAAGGGCCTTTCAGAGAAAGGCTCACCACTCCTTCATACCAACCCCACCCTCCACGTTAGGGCCCACCCTGCTCTAATCCCAGAGCCTTCTCCATAAAAGTCTCAAACCCCAAGTCTGTTTTGTCTATGTAGAGATGGATTTTATTTGTCATCTCTGATAAATAAACTCTCTTGTGTATCTCTGCCTGGTCTCTGTTGCCCATCACCTGTCTCCCGGTTCCTCGCTTTCCTTTCAGAAAGCATGCACTTGGGGACCATGTTTGATCTCCCAGCCCCTTTCTTTTTCTCTATTTCTATAAAGTGAGCAGCTTTGCTTTGAGAAACTGATGTGACTCCATTTTTGAGAAACCAGCCTCTACCTCAGAGCAAGGCCTGTCCGAAGGAAGGGGGTGTAACCCCTGTCCTTGGAAAAACCCACAGGAAAAACCATAGGCAAATAAGCACCCTGCTGAGTCATTTGTCTATAAATAATAGGAGACATCTGCAGCGCCAGGTGTCCCTGACTCAGTTAGGCTAGGTGAGGACCCATAGCAACCCCCTAGCAACCACCAATCAGCATGAGACAGGGAAAATACCTGGAATGTCAGATGACCCCACAGTAGTTTATGGTAGTTGATAACAAGTTGGGAAACTTGTTATCAACTACCATAAACAGTTCAAACAAATCCCCCTCTTGTACTGTCCAAACACCCTTACCCAACTTGTTCCCGCCAGTGAATGTGCTAATCAATGTTAAGAGTTGTTGTTTGATTTTCCCGTGGTGTGAAATGATTTGCTGTGTGATGTTTTGATACACAGAGTATCCTGCAAAAAAACTATAAATCCTCACTGAACAAAGGACCAGAACTCACTCCTCGGGACCACTGAGTCAAAAAGGTTTTGAGTCCAGGCTAGAGCTTGAAATAAAGACTCTTGTGTGATTGCATCGGATTCAGCTCCTGGAGGTCTAGTGGGGTCCCATGAGTCTGGCATTACAGCTTCACAACACAACAGGCCATGATGTTCTGCCTCACTTCAGGCCCAAAGCAATGCTGCTGACCTTGAACTAACACTTCTAAAAGCATGAGCCAAAATAAACTTTTCCTCCTCTAAGTTGGTTTTCTTGGGTATTTGTCACAGCAGTGATCAGCAGCTGACTAACACAAAGGGAGTATTAGGAATAGGTTGCCAGGGAATGGGTATGTCCCTGGCTCTCCAAGCCAGAAGGAACTTTCCCAAAGAGTCACTTATCAAACTTGCTGCTCTCTTGCTTTTGGTTAGGCTGGTTGTGAGGTCAATAGGTTTCTCCAGTCGGGGCAGATAAGCCCAGTGTAGGCTTTTAGGAACTGCCTGAGTATCCTTCAGGCAGTCATTGAGGTCCAACTATTTTGTTTTTTTTTTTTCCAACTATTTTGTAATGAAACTAAGATATTATTTGTCTTATTACCCTCATTCTCTCACCAGTGTATGGTGAACTTTTACAGAGACTCCCTGACATGTGGTACCACATCAGACTAACATAGAAGCAGACATAGGCACCTGGCTACCTTCTATTAAGCCAGACATTAAAGTCAAAATACACTCTACTGTCATGTGTATCTAAAAAGAACAAATTTTTAAAATATATAAAAAAAGAAATTTGCAAAAGTGTAAAGTAATGCCACTTTAATTATTCTTGTTTTGGAAAAATAGGCTATTTTTTATTTTTAAAAAGATATATTAAGGGGCTGGGGATGTGGCTCAAGCGGTAGTGTGCTCACCTGGCATGCGGGGGGCGCTGGGTTCTATCCTCAGCACTACATAAAAATAAAAAAATGAAGATGTCGTGTCCACCGAAAACTGAAAAATAAATATTAAAAAATTCTCTCTCTCTCTCTCTCTCTCTCTCTCTCTCTCTCAAAAAAAAAAAAAAGATATATTAACATATAATGGTTTTATTCTTTGTATTATGCTCGAGTTCGGGACCCCCAAAAGTCCACCAGAGACCCAGATCGATGTAAGCTGGCTCGGTTTGCAGCAGTTTCATACACTCTTTGGGGAAGGCAAGGACTTCACATACATCATAGCATCATAGCAAATCATCACACACCACGGGAAAATCATAAAACAACTCTAAAACATGATTAGCGCATCAAGTGGCGGGAAAGAATCTGGAAAAGATTACTGGTTAGTTCAAGGGGTTGATGCACTTAAAAATGATTGGTTTAAACTGTGAGGGTGTTGCAAGGGGGGGTACGTTCCAAGCTTCAGGGCTTCTAGTTTAGATATTGGTCACCACACTAGGTGGGGGCCATCTGGAATTTCAGACATTTCCATATCTTGGCCTATCTTAGGCTATCACCATCTGCAGCTTTTCTGAGAACTGTTTCCACAGAGCTTTCTGTGGTATTTTCCTG